GTTGATGTCGGCCTCCACGCTCTGGCGCAGGGCCAGCTCCGTCTCGTACCTGTGAGGGAGGAAGCAGAAAGAAAGAGCAGTCAGTGTCTGACATCACCGGCATTTCTGAGCTCTGACAGGAAAAACCAAAACCTTCCCGTCTGAAAGACAGCACCTGCTGGAACAGCAGCTTGGCTGAACCCTCACTGCTCCCAGTCTGCAGATTGCTTCTGCTTCCTTCAATCTCTACTTGAAACCAGCTTGGCATCCCAAAGTTCCCCTCTTGGAACTGCCCCTAATTAGGGCAGCTCTAGCGACAATGGATGAGAGAATAATTCTGCACAGCCTCCAGCCTGTCCTGGGTCACAGGAGAGCAGCTGAGAGCCCTGAGGGTGGTGGCAGAGGAGGGGACAGCCCCAGGTACTCACTTCACTCGGAAGTCGTCGGCTGTCATCCTGCTGTTATCGATGTTCAGAATGATCTTGTTGTTGTCTATGGTTGCACAGACAATCTGGAAAAAGAACATTTGTTCTTTTGCATTTGTTCCTTTGTTGCACCCATTGCCTGGTGCAACCAGACTCTCTTTCTTGCTCTCTTTTTTTTTAAATCCTGGGCATTAGGGATGAGGACCTGAGAGGTGCAGCACTCACAAGGATGTTCAGGGAAGGACAGTGAAATCATTAAAATGATAAAATTCATGGTTCAGGTGCAGAGAATCCAGGAGGTGTAATTACTGTCCAGCACCTGCTACAATCTACATCAGCCTCTTAAATCTAAGTCTTATGAGATTTAAAGTTTTATTTCGAGAATTATGATGAACCTGTCTTATTCATTCCCTTTCCTGGATCCTTTTCTCTTTTTTCTTTGTGCATTGACATCCTAAATCTTTGCCAAACACTTTGCAAATGTTTTGAATTTAAAATTGCCCATTCTAAATCTGTTGTGGCAATGTTCTCTTTTTTCTTAGTTTTAATTAGATGTTTAACTGGAAGTAAATGAATTAAAGTTAATTTCAGTTAATTAAAGTTTATCTGGAATTCTGCAAGACTGATGGCTATAATATAAATTCAGGCAAATTAACGTGATCCATTATTTATTTATCTCTTAGTTCTTTTCTTGCTGTATATCTATTTGACCTCCTTGGCACAAACTAAATTCAGAACGACTACTGAGCCCATCCAGATGTTTTCCATGAAGTAACATTTTCCCCTTCAGTATGTCTGATCAATAACCACAACAGAGACAGCCCAAACTTTCCAGTTTTATCTCTGAGCTCTGGGCTTTCCACAGGCAGATGTTGTAATAGCTGTTTGCAAAAGGCATTTTTCAACAACAATTTGTTATTCCAAATAATGGACTAAGTTATGAACCAGCACCAGAGAGAGCCTTGCAAGGGAGAAAGCAGCTGAGAGGGGATGTTACCTGGTTCTGAAGATCTTCTATTTCTTTGTAATAGCAGCTGTAGTCCCGTGGCTCACAGAAAGGGCCCTGCTTGGCATACCACTCCCTGATCCTGCACTCCAGGTCAGCGTTCTCTTGTTCCAGGCATCTCACCTTGTCCAGGTAAGAAGCCAGGCGGTCATTCAGATTTTGCATGGTGACTTTCTCGTCACCAGAAAGAAGAATGCCATCACCAGCAAAACCACCTCCACCAAGACCCACACCCATGCCACCTCCCATGCCACCGCCAAAGCGAGCGCTGCCACCACTGAATCCCATGCCTGGACATCCTCCGAGGACGGCGGCTCCTAAGCCACCTCCGTAGTTTCCACCGACCAAACTGCCGGTGCTCAGTCCTCCTCCGTAATTCACACCACCACAGTAGCTTCTCCCAGAAAACCCTCGGCTACCGCCTATGCCACAGGTTGTGTATCTTCCAGAGGAGACCGAGGAGATCCGCGCTCCGCCACCACCGCCACCGATCACACAGCTGCCCCCGCTGGTCCTGCCCCTGAGAGAGCCAGTTGTCTGCTTAATACTACAGCTCATGGCGAGGCCCAGCTGCAGCGCCAACCCACAGCCCAAAGCAAGATGCAGAGCGTGATACTGAGTCCGACTGCAGGCTGGCGGCTGCTGCAGGTCTCCATTTATACCTTCCAAAGGGGGTGTCACCTGTGGGGTGTTTCTTCTTCCCACGGGGCTGGCTAGTCTGGCTGTTTATGCCAAGATTAAATAGCCCATAGGCAGTTTCCCTCTAGAAATCCCAGTTCACAAGGAAGATACTTTACATGTCAGCAGCTTATTCCAAAAAGTAAAATAGTGTTTTATGAGTCATCAGCTTTTTTTGTATGATGCAAACTTTGCAACAAGTCAAGAAAAAAAGTTGCCCTAGATTATGTACAAAGAAGAACCATTGGTATTTATAACATCAAAAGTGCCTTTTATCTTTTATTAATTTGTATTTATTCTTAGTCCAATAACAATTTTTATATCACATGCTATGGTAGACCTTGTGAAACAAAAAATGGGAAACTAATAGAATTTCTCACTTCTGAAAAATGTGAACAGTTATGACTGTAGTAGAGAACAGACCACGGACACTGTGGTGTGGATGTTGGTCAGCTGGCACAGCTCTAATACTTGCTTTGCTGTGAGATTTCCAGAATCACTGAGATAAATCCCCATACTAATTCCCCAACTAAAACCATAGTTTTAGTTACCTATTTATAGCTTAAATGTCCTTAGTCGTGCAAACACAAGAACTCAAGTTGCTCACACTGCGAAGCTCAGGCCTGCTCAGTGTCCCCTGTGTGTGGGTGACACACAGGTTGATGGCAACTGCAGTGTATGAAGGATTTTCCTGAAGTTGTTTTTCAATTGCTTTAATTGCTGTCCATGCTTTCTCAGTTTGTGAGGATGAGAGATAAAGACAGAGGTGACAAGAAAGGGAGTATCCACAGGCGATATATCCAGATCCCTGGACTCAGATGGGACTCTGCAGGTCTTTGCCATTATGAAGATTGTACTGTGCACCGAATAAGAAGGAGAAAAGCTTTTTGCATTTCTTATGGAGTTTGTTGGAGCAGTAGCAGGCGTCAGCGCAGTCTGGCTGGTCAGAGGAGCACAACCTCCCAACCAGGCAGGCTATAGCCAAGGGAGAATTCAGAGAACCAGCTCCACCAGTGCCAGTGTCCTTCTCCAGCTGCCTCTGTAATGAGAGGATATTCTGTTCTCTGGGGGAAGACGACTTCTGTTCCCTACAGCATGGAATTTCCACGCAGCTCTTACTCACAAAGCAGCCTTTGACTTGAGGATGTCCATATGTACAGGAGCAGTTGTGATAGATCCCTGTTGGCAGTGAGGGTGACACTGAATGGGCTCTGAGAGCAGCATCACCTCTGGGAGGAAGAGTGGAGAAAACCAACGCTCGTACCCTCAGCCACTTTTACTCATGAGAAATGGTGACTGCTGTCTCCATGGTAGGAGAGTGTCCCCAAGCATGTTTAGATAGAATCGGCTTCACACCAGCATGAGTTAAAGCTTTCCACTCTCCAGTGGGATAATTTATTTCTTTACTTAGATCAAAAATGATAAAAAGCCGCCTACCCACGGCTGGCGGCATCCAGGAATATTCATTATTCATATGGTGCAGGGAAATAACTTGCTTAAGGACAAAGCTGAAGTCTGTCAGAGCTCGGATTCCTCGCTGAGACTGCAGTGCCTGAAATACAAGTCCATCCTCCCCCAAGACACAGCCTCTGTGCTCCCCACACAGCCTAGACTCACAGTCGGGAAAACCATGAGCAAAAAGGAGGAGAGGGAGCAAATCTGGCTTTCATCCGTCATTTTGAGGAATATAATTGAAGACAGGGTGCGGCTGTTGGAGCCAACAGAAATTAATATAATGTTTGCTTGGAGCTTTGCTTCTGCTGGGGAGGTTTTCAGGAGTTACCCAAGAGCAACCTGCAGAGACAGGGCTGGTGGTGCCTTTCATTCCTTTGCAGAGTGTTGGGTTCAGGAGGAGACACTGCAGAGTTGGGCATTTCTCTACGGGTGGGCATGGAGCACCCACCCCTGCTTCCTTCAGCAGTTCTCTGATGGGATGAAGTAACAGGTCTTGCTCCACAAAACAACAGCAGCAGCACTATACAACCTTTCACTCCTGTCCTGGTGGAATTGTCCATAGACTCAAATACCAATTTACCACTGAAGATTAGACATGACCATACGATTCTTCCAAAGAACTCATATTTGGGATGCAGTTGCATTCTTTAGAGTTTTTCTGGGCTCCTACCAATTTCACTGTGAATATGTGTTTGTTACAGCAAATGCACCCAGGAGCCAGTCCCTGGCTAACCTGGTTGTATCTTAAAAACAAACTGTGGTGTTGTCTCTGTCCTCATGGCCTTGTCAGGGCTCCGGGGCTCGGCACCAAGACAGGTACAGGCTGTGTTCCCTCAGTACTGGCTTTTTTCCCCACTAAACTGATTTCTTTACCTCCACTTTTGTTATGACTGCATTCCTGTAGCCTTGGGACACAGCCTTGGGGCAGAACACAGGGAAGGGACTGTGCAAGTCTAAGACATAAACGTGTCCCTAAAGGATTTGCAACCTCAGTGTAGGACTGGAGGAAACAATTGGTTTCAGGTGCAGGAAGCCACAATAGGCCCTCGCTCAGGACAATCAGCAGTGGTCGCACACAACGTCAGCTCCAGTGCTGCTGAGTCTTGTGGGCTTGATGGACAAGAAGAGAGAGTGAAAGGGGAGGAAGAGGGGATAAGGGTGAATATTGGTGCACAGGATGGAGGAGGCAGGAGGATGCCACGTTCCCAAGGGGTGCTGTGGGCAGGACAGTCTGGTCCTGTGGGAGCTGTGGCTGTCGCTGTGCCCAGCCCGGCTCCACACGCTCACCTCGCTTTGCTTATCAAAGCTGATAATGTTTTCTTGTGTCAACTACAAGAAAGGTGTGTCTGGTTCAACAGAACTTTGCTTTCATAAGCATTGCCTCAGTGATGTTTGTGCAACCACACTGGAATATGATTTTATCTTGTCACTTGTAATTACCATTAATAATTTGCATAATGGCCATTAGGCATCACTTATTAAACACTTCTTTGATGTGATACTGAGCCGGCTCCAGGCCCCATACTCCCATCTTTCAAATGCAGACCATGACTTTTTCCTGGCTAGTGACTCATTGGTTTATACCACCATGTTTAGCCAAATCCTGTAAGGCAAGTGAAATAATTACCACAGTAGGTTTGGTAACAGCGCAGGCTTAAATACACCTTGGAGACCGAGAGCATTACTCTGTTTCAGCTTCTTTCTTGCTGAGTGTTCACATCTCCAGGCTCTGAGCATATCCAGTACCAAAGGAGAAGTTCAGCAGGACATGGAGGTGGACGCAACCAGGTTTCTTCCTACCGAAGTCCAGTCTCCCCTGATTCACTTGATGAAGAGTACTAGATCCTTCCAGAACCTGCCAGGTGCTGCGAGTGCAGCCAGGCCTCCAGCAGGTACATCCTTGGCACTGCAGGTTATCACAGCAGAGAAGAGTCCTGGAGAATTTCTTAGAACATGTGGGAACAGTGATGGGTGATGAAACTGCAGCAATTTCATTCTGCATGGAGAGCTGAGCACAGTGCAGGATGGGAGGGAAACCAGGGCTTCAGCCTGTGGTCTGTGCTGCAGAGCCACAGGATCAGGTCACAGCCTGACATCCTGGAGTGTTCAGGTGCTTCCTGCACTCAGGCACTGTCCAGTGGTGCAACAGAGCCAGGCAGGCAAAGGTGCAGGGCAGCCAGAACTCCTCAGATTGTCTTCTTTTATCTTCATATGATACATATACTAAAAAGTCCCTTAATTTCAATACACTTCAATTATGTGGCTCATACTGGCAGTTTAGATTTTATTATTCAGTGTACTGAACTGAGAAACTCCTGCTGGGTTTCAGCAGCAGCTTGCCCATCTCTTGTAATTCTTTACAAATGTTACATAAGCCAATAAAGAAAAATCTAAACCTCACAAATAGTTACCGTGGGTGTTAGTCTGTACCTGTCTGCATAGTCTATGAAACAGACTTTTGTAGAGAAATTATAGTTTATGCATCACAGCAGAATATGGCCTGCTTTTCCAAATGCACTGTGCCTGTAATCAGAGATAATTGTCTGTGTCATGCAGTCTGGAACTGGCTGATTTCCAGCATTGGTAATTTATAAAACTATTTGTTTTCTTCCATTTCTTCACTAATCCCTTAAATTTATGGTGTGTTAATTCCTTGGGAGCTTTTCCTGATGGTGGTGTAATTCCCATGTTCCTGCTCTCTTACAACACAGATACATCTGCTGGAGCTGTCACAGCGAATTTCGTTGTCTGCTTACCAGCCCGAGTGCTGATATCAACCCTGTCTCTCCAGGGGCATCTGCCCTTGCTCTTTGTATCCTTGGGTTCCTCTCTCTGCCCTGTACCTTCAGCCTAAGTCTCTCCATCTTGGAAATACTCGTTTGTTCTTGCTTTGCAAGATTTGAGTGTTACAAGAGAACAGAACAAGCTCCGTGAGCCTCCCAACCTGTGAGCTGCTGTGCAGTCCAGGTCCCAGGTCACTCCTTTTCTGTTGTTCCATGCATTGTGTCCTCCCCATTTCATCTCTCTTCCCTTCCCTGTCTCCTCCTGTGCTGTCTCCACAGCTGTCACCATTTCCCATCGCTGTCCAGCTTACAAACCCTGGGCAGCAAGGGCAGAGTTGCATTTCTGCACCGATGCAATGCAGTGACCTCAGAGGTGCTGTGTCAGCACAGAGGTGGGTTAATTCACCCCGAAATGCTCAGCGTAATTACTGCTGCAGGAATGGGAGATGCAGAACTGAGCAGGGAAAGTCCAGGATGCAGAGCTTGTCCAGGAGCTCATTAGAGCAATTACTCCACAGGGCTAACAAGTGTCCTGGACAGAGCCCAGGTAGAGGCCATTCCAGAGCTGTCTGAGCTGTTTCTTTAGAAACAGGCACTAATTCAGACTCATTGTATCCTCCAAAGCCTTGTTGTGAAAAGCTTTCCTGTCCAGCCTCTGTCTATAATGTCAGTCATCAAACCCCATCCAGCATTTCACTAAAGAAAGGCTGCCAGTGCCCCACAGTGAGGAGCAAGGGTTGTGCCACCACTCCCAGTCCATCTGACCCACTGCTTGGACATTGCTGCCAGCGAGGAGGGACAGGCTGGATCCTGAATCCTGCCTTGCACATGCAGCAAAATGCAGTCGTGTTCCTAAATGTGTTTGTCATTCCTTTCTCTGGGCTAATAAAATGCCAGCAGCTTGTTTTTCTGTCTCTTTATTGTGTCTCACTTTAAAAAAAATTCTCTCCCACATATTAATTTGTCTCAGCCTTTTATCTTCCTACATGTTGCCAGCTGGTTCTTCCTGTTTGCCTTTTTTACAAATCCATTTAGAGGTTCTTTATTTAGTGTTTTCTCTGGGAATTGCTTTCCTCCACCAGAAAGGTGTGGAGAGTCCAGCAGAGCCTAGCTTTCAAAATTCCTGCTTTGGTGTTATTTAAGAAAACTTGTTATTCTTGATTTTATCTTGTTAGTGCACATCTGTAATAACTCAAAGGTGTTGTATATTGCATTTTACTATGTGATATTATATATTATATTACATTATATTATATTAGCATATGCCTGCTTAAGTGAAGACTCCCTTTTCTTTGTAAGGTGTCTCTCGGTAGCAGACTCAGCCAGACAGCCCTGAGACTCCCTCCCTGCCCTCTGCCCAGCCTCCCTGGGTGTTTCTTTCCTCACTACCTTCTGCTTCATGTCTTGGCTGATGCTTCCTCCTCTGGCAGCAAATATCCCTCTCCACATCGGCTGGTCCTTCTCCTCCACCCTCCATCCCCATCCTCAGCCTCTGAGTTCAGCTGGAGCACTGATGGGAACATGGCTTGTTTTCCTTTTTCCCTGTAATGATTGCTGTGTGGTTGGAGACTGAAGGTAGATTCATAATATATATTTTTTTAAGATACTTGTATATTGATTTACTTGTAAAATTATTTCTCAGGTTCAAGGCTGTATCAGCAGGAGCAAAGTTTTATTGGAGACATGCCTTGGTCGCTGTTAGAGAATGGCCACAAACCAGGGGAGTCTGAGTGAGGGGCAGTGGTGGGATAACAGCAGGGTGGCCAGGAGCTGCCATCCTGCAGAGTCCCTGTGACTACCACTGGAGCACAACTGAGAACTCCCAGGTTATTTTTGCCTTGTTTTTCCAAAAGACTTTTTCTTCAGAAAGCTCCTCGGGGGATGTGCAGTGGGACTGGCGGGGACTCTCTGGTCTGCAGTGACCTGAAGGAGAATGAGAAGAATCATTTATTCAGGGGAGTCTGCATCCTGTACCTTTCTCTCACACCCCTTTGCTTTTGTATTGAGCTTTCTCTTTCCCTCTTCTCCCCAGCTTTGCTAAATTTTATCCTTGTTGAAAAACTTGTGACTGAGTGATTCCACTGCCAGTTCCTCATTCCTGTGTTGTGCTGAAAGCCTTGTTTAAACACACATTTACTGCTGGGCACCCGCCAGTGTCAAACATAATTTCTGCACAGAGATTTATAAATAAATATCCCATAGCTGCATCCCTTATCACTGCTTCCCACCACAGCCCAGTTAATCCCAGTGCCCTACCACAGCTGTGATCCTGAGCATCTGACTCCAACCCAGCCTTTCTCTAGGAAAAAACCCCTCCAGCCTTCCTTCATCACCCAGAAAAGCCTGCAGACCTCTCATGCTCCTGTTCCACTGGTACCCAGCACTAAAGAAGCAGCTCATGGTCCCAGTTCCCTGGAGGCTCCCTCACCTGGCAGAGCCTGGCGGGCAGGGGCTCAGGGCAGGCAGGGCTGGCACAGGCTGGCTTTCAGCCCCGTGCTTCTCCCAGCTGGTGTGGCACCGACTCCTCTTCCTGCCGACCCTCTGTGGAAGAAGACAGCTCTGGACACCCAGGCCCCAGCACTGCCACCCTGGAGGTCTCCCCCTGCCCTCCTCACTGGCTTTAGCTCCATCTCTTCAGCCACAGCCGTGCTTCCCCCTCCCAGCCCCGAGGTCAGCTGCAGCCACCATCCACCTCTGTCCCCCTGTCTTTTGGCAGATGATGCTTTTCCATCTGGCACTCAGGATTGCCCTGGGACTAACAATGCCACTTCAGCCCTTGCAAGAGGCATTTTGGAACAAAAACTGACTTTTTGTGGAAATAATTTAGGACTGGAGAGTCCAGAGGAGCCCAAATCAGGGCAGCACCATTCCATTCCAAAGCCTCCTCTCCCAGCAAAACAAAAGGAGTAGGTGGGTGCTCAGGGCAGTTTTGTGTGTGTGCAGCCACGTCTGGAATTAACAGCCTGGCTGTTTCAAAACCTCAGTCAATGGAAGGCAGGGCAGAGCCAACTGCTTTGCATACAAATTAAACTTCCAAAACTTTAATTAAACTTGTGTGAAACTGAAAATGTTTAGATAATTCATCATTTCAGTTAATTTAGCTGCTAATCCCTAATCCTGTCTCATTCTGGCAAGCCAATAAAACTTAGTTATATGACTGTTTGTCCAGCTCCTGGGAAGTTGCCCTTAAAGAACTGCTGAAGCTGCTGTGCCAGGGGCTGGGACAGTTCTGGGGGCTCTCCCAGACCGTTCCCTGGCCCAGGAATGGTCTTTGGTGCTCCCTGGACATTTATCAGAGCCAAATCCTCCGATACCTCATGGTTTTCTAATCAGCCCTGTCTAGAAACAGGTCAGCCCTGGTTCCTCACCAGTGTTGCTTTTCCTACCGGGATCACAAATTTTCATATCCCTGTAAGACAAAGTACAGAGATTTTAGGGTGCCTAGCTCTGTTTGCATACATGATGTCGTGTTGGCCACCCTCCAGCAGACAGTGGTAGGTCTGGATCTCCTGCTCCAAGCGACACTTGACGTCCAGAAGGGTCTTGTATTCCTGGTTCTGGCACTCCATTTCCGCTCGGATCTCAGCCAGCCGCTGCTCCACGCAGGAGATCTGGTTCTGCAGCTCCGCCAGGTATTTGTTGTAGCGACATTCAGTCTCCGTCAAAGAGGATTCCAGGTTTTCTTTCTGAGAATAGAACAAAATACTCAGGTACTGGGGTTTGACACAGGTACAACCCTGCTCACGAGAGCTGGAGCTGTGAATCCTTGTGGCATCACCTACCATGGTGAGCTGGGCTTGTACATTGATTTCCAGGGCCTGCAGCTGACGTCTCAGCTCAGTGACCTGCTTGTTGCTCGACTCTATCTCCTGGCTGCTTGTGACAACTTCCAGATTCACCTCCTCCACCTGCAAGGTCAGAAAAGAGCAGCCCTTTCCTCACCTCCCCACTGCATCTCATGATGTCCAGGACCTCCCCACACCCCGCAGTGCCCTGAGCACGAGCAAGGCTGACACCCTGCTTATTCCATTCTGACCCAGTGACACCATGTGACACCATCTGACCATGTGGTGGCCCCTCCACCATGGATGGAACGCAGAAATCGGGCAGTACAGTTAGATCTGAGCGCATCTGTGACACGCTTGCTGTTATTAGGACACTTCCTCCTTTTTCCCTTTCCCCCTTGGGGCAGAGCTGGCTGCAGCTCTGCAGGGACGAGGTACCTTGCAGGCGTACCACTGCTCCGTCTCTTTGCGGTTGCGTTCCATCAGCGTCTCGTACTGGCACCGCAGATCCTCCAGGATCTTCCTCAGGTCTGGGCCAGGGCAGGCATTGACCTCCACGCTCACATCCCCAGTTGCCTGTTTCCTCAGACAGCTCATTTCCTGCAGGAAATACATGACTGTATCAATAATATCCATCCACCCTTGGGGAGATTTTCCTTCTTCTCAATTCCCTGAGAGAGCTGACCTCCTCGTGGTTGGTCTTTAGGCAGCACATCTCCTCTGTCAGAGCCTCACACTGCAGCTGCAGGTCGGTCTTGCAGCTGGCCAGCTGGTCCAGGACGGGCCGGAGGTTGTTAATGTCAGCATCCACGTTCTGCCGGAGACCACACTCGGTCTCGTACCTTAAACCACAGGCAGCAAACAAAGACCAGCATATCAGCAAAGCAGGGCAAGGCCTTCAGTTGAGGGTGGGGGGAAAAAATTAGGATCAAGCTCTTCTTTTGCTTCAGACATGCTGTGCTATGAACATTGCCAGTGGTATCAGAGATCAGTTTTACCATGCAGTGTAACAGGCAGAGGTTTGGGATTTCCCCATCACCACCCTTCACCTGCCCTTCCATGGGCCAGCAGGGGACTATACTCACTTCACTCTGAAGTCATCAGCAGTCATCCTGTTGTTATCAATGTTCAGAAGGATTTTGTTAGTCTCCATGGCTGCACACAGGATCTGGAAAAGAAATCATTAGAAGAATATGTGGGCTTGCAGCTTCCTCTGCCTCCAGAAGACCCTGGAGGAAACACCTACCTGGGGAATTTTATAATTATTCTGTATATTTGGGTTATTAATCACTTATGTAGCATCCCAGCAGAAAAACCCATGTCCAGCTGGTGGACATGACCTTGCTGAAGCATCAGTGCTCAGTAAATGTAGACTCCCCCTCCCACAGACCATCATTTCATATAAACCATTGCTTCAGCTGCCCCTCCAGAGCCATTGCTTCTGCCCTGTGACAGGGCTCTGTGCACATACGAAAGCAAAGCCTAAAGAAATGTTAGGATTTTCTTGACAAACAAGAATTTACCTGGTTCTGAAGGTCTTCGATTTCCTTGTGGTAGCAGCTGTAGTCCCGTGGCTCACAGATGGGCCCCACCTTGGCGTACCACTCCCTGATCTTGCACTCCAGGTCAGCATTGTCCCCCTCCAGGAGCCGCACCTTGTCCAGGTACGAGGCCAAGCGGTCGTTGAGGTTCTGCATCGTCGCCTTCTCGTTGTTAGCAAACAGGATCCCATCCCCGCAGCCAGCTCCAGCCCTGGGGAAGCCACCTCGAGTGCAGACAGCTCCTCCGCTGAATCCCAGGGCAGAACAAGCCCTCTGGGTGGCTCCGAAGCTCCCACCAGCTGCGCTGCCGGCGCTCAGCTGCTTCCCGAGTAATCCCTCGCTTACGCTGCCGCCGGAGAAGTTGCCAACCACGGCACCCATGTCATAGGCAGCGTGTCTCCCCGAGGAGGCAGAGGAGACCCTCCTGCCGGTGCCAGCCGCGTTGCTGCCTGTGCTGGCCCTGCCCTGGGTGCAGGTGGTGACAACCTGCCTGACAGTACAGCTCATGGTGTGGGTGCGGAGCCAACAGAGCCCAAGGCAAGTGCTCAGGTCGCTGCAGGATCCAACTGTGATACCTCTGTCCCCTGGTCCTCTATTTATACCAGTCCCTGTGGGTCGTGCCACTGGAGAAGAGCTGTTTATTCTTCCTCCTTGTGACCTGGCTAGGAGGTGTTTTCTTTTTTTTAAGCCGGAAATAATTCCCCAAAGGCGTTTGTCTCCAGAAATCCCACAACAGAAAGATGCTTTGGTTAACAGAAGCGTGTTTCAAAACTACATCAAAAATGTTACTTCCTGAATCATCAGGTCTGACCTGTGATGACAACTCAACAACAGTGACACAAAAACCCAACGATACCCAAGAGTGCCCGGGGAATGAAGCACCACAGCAATTATCCATCCCCAGTGTGGGCGAGTCTACCCGGAAAGTGAAAGCTGTGGGAAAGGCGTCCTATCTGACAGAGCCTGTTTGACCCCTTTGTGACCAAAAGCGAGGGTGTCCCCTCACTCAGCTGGCCTCAGTCCCTGGGACCAGGGCCTGGAGACCACCCCGGGCCGTGCAGTGAGGGGTCTGTTCCATTCCACACGGCCGTTTGTGGAGCGAGCCCCTGGTCTGGGTCTTTAGACCTCAAATGCTCCAGGAGAGCACAGAGGAATTTTGCACTGGAATGTACCAGGGCTGGTTTATCCCTTCTCTTTATTCTACATCCATCAAAACATCGCCTTGCAGAGGTCTGGGTTGTTTTGCTTGCTTTCAAGGGTAGACAAAATAGTCAAGTATTTATCCAAAATATGAAAGGATATTTCCTGGACACTAAACATGCAGGCCACTGAATATTCAGTGCCACACGGGATATTTCATAAGATTTCTTAAATAGTATTGTGGAGAATTTCAGGAAATGCATGACTTCACAGAAGTCTGATCCTGTTCCAACCAGCACCATGAAAACTCTCCAATACAATCCAAGTGTTAAATTTAGAAAGGACAATAGAAAAGAAATTTTTAAAAATTTATTAAACTAAATTTTTAGTTCTGGAATGCTGAATTGAGGAAGAAGGGAAATAATTAAAATGTTTTGTCATCTGAATCTTTCATTTTATTAATAACATTAATATAGCAATGCTAATATTGGCTGGCTCTCACCCACGTGTGGTTCAGCTTTGGGTTTGGCATCCAGGTCACCTGGACACATGGCATAAAGAATGTGTCAGGTGTATCCTGCTCACAAATATTGCTTCTGCCATTTGGGCAAGTTCATTAAGCTCAATTTTATCTTGACACTGCAAACCCAGCACTCCTGAACTGTGGGGTGGTTCTGTGGGTGCCCATCCTTTGTTAGAGCCATCATCAGGAAGTGAAGCCAGGGTGCTCTGGTGCCACAGTGATGGCCAGACCCTGCCTGAAACCAGGGTCAGGGTCAGGCAGGGCTGCCTGGAGCCCACCTGCAGCCTGGTCACCACTGGTCTTTTTTCTACCAAAGAATTTTAAAATGACTGCGGAGTAAACATTTAATTTCATTTAATCGAGATGTATGTGGTCCTTCATTTTTCAAGGCCAGGTTGGGTGGGGCTTGCAGCAACCTGGTCCAGTGGGAGGTGTCCCTGCCCATGGCAGGGGGTAGAATGAGGTGGTCATAGGGTCCCTCCCAACCCAAACCATCCTGTGTGATTTCTTCCATGAGGAAAACACCCACAATGAGTAGAGGGTTTTTTAAAATTACTGCAAACTGAGCAGAGATGTCAATGTTCTTTTTCTTTCTTTCT